CCATCATTAATCCTTTTTGTTAATAAACATTATTTATATATATATATATATATATATATATATATATATGTCTAAAAATCAATCATTTAAAATACTAAGGGAAATCAAGAGCAGTGTCCAAGAACTCTTTTAAGATTGTTAGTATATATTTTTGTAGTACACATAGAAACTTTTCAGGAGAATTTTTCCTATATAGTCACCACTTTACCACATTATTTTGTTGAGATAATGTAACATTTTGTTGAATTCAATTAATATTTTATGCATTCTATTTAAAACTGATTTGGTAGTATTCAATTGTACAAACATTTGTTTCTGTAAGCCATAGTCATATAGCAATACATTTGCTGCAAGTCCCAGCACCTATGCCTAGAAAAGTTCAGCAAGCATTAAATTTAATGTTGCACCTAAGATATACTGAATTCTTCCAAAAAAGATAAAACTTTTAATCAACTTTGATAAAACTGCAAAGGATCATGTGCTTATATGATAATCATTCTCTATTTTGTTTCAAGAAAACAAAGTTGTTTGCTTAAGATTTTGAAACATGTTTTTCTTACATAGTATGATAAATTTTAGCCAACATTAGATAGCTTTTTAAAAGTGACCACGAAAAGCCAGACAGAAAAGTAAAAAATGAAAGTGACTCAGTAAAAAGTTAAAGACAGTGCTCAGTGTAAGACTTGAAGAGGTTTGTGAAGAAATAGTAACGTAACTTACTGAGAAATGGAATATTCTGCCTAGATTTGCTTGATATAAAACAGATTATGCCTAATTTTTTCACTAAGGTAATCACCCCAAAAGACAGTTCTCTGCTCTTCTGTAATTCTGGGCATCTCTGGCACCACCGAATTTGCAGAGTTGTAGATCTGATAAATTTAAAGCAATGAGACCTCTGTTTCTGGGACCTAAGTAGGATGTGTGCCTTCTCCCGACTAAGTCTGGAAAATGGAACTCTTGTATCTGATCATGCAAATGAGAAATGGGCATAAAGGCTCAATGAAACGTTTACTTAAACAATGATTTGCTTTACTGTTTAGCACTCCTGACCCTCCTACTTCTCTATTGATAGTCATTTAATTTAGTCACTTCCACTGGGCCCTCCATAGAAGGATGTATTTCTAGATTTTAACTCCCATATTAGCTCATTACCTTTCTACAAAGAAGACATTTAAAAGCTAAAGTCCATGCACACTGTGTATGTGGAAGAATGCTTACAAACAAGAAGCATAATAGCTGCTGTATATTTTCTGTAAGAACAAAATACTGTAAATGGCCACTATCAATACTATCATCACTAAAATTAGACAAGAAAAGCTACAGAAGTCACTGTGTATCTCTGGTATTTTTGTTTCTTTCCTTTCAGTTGGAAATATTTTCTAAGTACAGAGGTATTCAATAATTTCACATTTGGTGAATAAAGAAATCCCTTTACACACAGAAAGGTAGTGCAGCACAGCCGAGCCTTGGTTCAAAGCTTCAGCACAAATTGAATAAAAGCATGATGTTGACAAATCTTAAATTCTGTTTTTCAGTTTATTCATCCATGACATGGATATCACTTCAGTACTTCAAAAATCGTTGGAGATTAAATGAGGTAATACATGTAAATCATTTCAATACTTGTGAATTTCATCAATGTTCACCATTACCAGTACTGTGTATGAACACGAAAGGGAAAGGGCCCCAATGTGATTGAGTTTCGGAAGCCTGCTATGTCTACTGAAGGGCAAAGTCATTAAATTTCCTCATAGTGCACAGAGAGTCTAACACAGGACTAATCCTGACAAGTGTTTACAGCAATTTGGACTTCAATGTGAAATGGGTAGGACACATATGTTTTTTATGTCACTGAAGCATTTTATGGATGTGTGACACAGCTTAATGGGTAGTGTGTGATGCACTTTATACTGGATGCAGTCAGTCTGTGGTAAGTAGAAGTATGATTCAATTGAGGACATTGAGATGAGGACATTATCTCCCATAATCCAGGGGCCTATACAAGAAGGAAGCATGTGTGTTGGAGTTAACAGAAGATGTAATAACAGGAACGGAGGCTGGAATGATTGAAGGAAGAAGTCAACTGCCTCCCAGGAACCTGTTGGCCCTGCTGAATCAGCCCTGCTCAGACCTTGATGTTAGTCCAGTGAAACTAATCTTGAACCTCCAGATTTCTCAATAGTTAAGGGTGTGCTGTTTTATGTTATTAGGCTTGCTATAACAGCACTAAAAAAACCAAGTCTTAAATCCAGTGAAAATAGGTTCTCTTTTGACTTCTGGGTGCATGTTAGGCCCTTACTGCTTTCAGAATTACCACTTGGCAACACGCAAAACATTCAATGTAAACCTATAGAATAAATTTTGAATGGCATAGGCAGCCATTAAAATGTTTATAAAGCGTTCATAATAAAATAGAAAAGAAAATATTAATAGGGATTGTTTCTGTATATAATAAAACTAAATGTCTTTAGTTTTCTTCCTTTTACACTTCTGCATTGTCCACATTTTCTATAAAGAACAGTATCACTTTCATAATTGATAAAAGTATGTCAATTACATTTAAAAAGTATATGGCAGTGTAATATAAAATATAATAACAATTTTAAATGATACTGATATACTCAATCTCTTTCTGCACCAGTAGCTCTCATTAGTAATTTAAAACCTTTACATTCATAGGTCTGGCATTTCATTAACTGAGCAGCCATAATGGGTCTGTGTTTTGATTTTGCAAACATGAGTTGCCTTTAAAAATAGTAAAGTTATGATTATCCCCTTCAAAAACCAGCCACCGACCAGCCACTGTGAACGGCATGCCAACAGCAGGGTGTCAGAAGGTAGTGATTTCAGCAAAAGTGGCAATTGATTTAATGGAAAGGAAAAAGGAAGGAGAAAAGCCAGAGAACTTGCAGAATATTTGCGGCACTGTGGCTCTCTGACCTTGGCGAAATCTCTCATCACTGTGAGCCTCAGTCTCTTCCTCAGAGTCATTATGGTCTAGAACTATTACCTCTAAGATTAGCTAGACTTCCTATAAATACATGCCTATGTTCAAACACACACAAATATAGTCTAATTATAAAACAAGACAGACTCAAAAAGGCAAATGACAAAAAATTACCTAGACTATTCCACAGTTGTACTGTATTCAGGGATTACTGTCAATGTATGTGAACTAGATCCTTTACACTGTGCAGTTTGCCACTAATTCCACCATCATGAAACTTTTCACAGCATCATCTTTTTTACCATGTCAGAAACTGCACCACACAGAGCTCCAACATATAAGGGATGCAGCAGCAGCAGTCAGATGTCTCATTAGCTGTGGAAGCCTTTCAGCTTGTCACTTGTCAGTATTTTGAGGAATGTATTCCTGACCTGGAATTTTTTTTTTTTTTTCATGAAAACCAAGCATATGGTCCTCTTAATACCAGTGTTCCTTGTAAAGGCAAGACTTGTTACCTCCATAATTCTTTTGATATTAAACATGGATGACATTTCTGGAATATGCTGTATGTGAAATTTCAATTGAAATTCCAAATATTTTAGGAAAGGCAAGGCAAAAGTTATATATCTAAAAAGTATAGGCATATTTCTATGGATAGAATTTCAGTGGGAACAGAGAGATCATGTCCAGCCATCCAGACAGAAAGAGTACAGTGAAGCTTATGGGGTCCATGAAAACAAAGGTACTTTGGGCCCTCAATTCAAGAATTGAGATGGAAAGGAAGGACTTTCTTGATGGAGAAAACAGAATGAGGGATGTCTTGGTGGCAGGGAGAAATTTGTTGAAGTATGAGAAGAACAGAGTAAACTTCAAAGATATTGCCAACTGCAGGTTGAGGAGCCATCAGATAAAGATTGACAGTAGACAAGGTTCAGAACTTGAGTGGAATTCTTGAACAGGCACTTGACAAGAGACTACACTTTATTCTACAGACAATTGGAATATTCCACTATTATTTAATGCTTTGCATCCCCTTCACTCATATGGCAGACAAAGGTAATTTTTTAGTTTTAAAGGCATTCTTTTTTCAAGTGAACAAATTTCTAAGCAATTTTTTTAACTGGAAATCAATAAATTGGAAAAGATTTAAACTTTATATATTCAAAGTCTGAGTGGGGAAGATTTCCATTATTAATCTCATAGTTATTTGGTGTTGGATGAGCCGTGACCCCATTAAGAAACTAGAGTGAAAGCTGCTCACACAGGGGCCAGGAAGCCCTGTGGTCTGGGGGAGAGAAGGTGACTTGTTCACACTGACTATCACGTGAACTTCAGGATTCCTTGTTTCAGAGCTTTTGACCATCAGGGTTTGGCTCTGGTCCTATGTGCTCTGACTCTGTGCACTATCCTTGGGTCTCATGCCTACTGCTCCTGGACATTGGCACTAAGTCTATGCTCTTCACATAAAGACACTACCCTGATTTAACTCCATGCCTTGTGTCTCTGTGTGTATCTATATGTTTACATAGGAATGCAGAAATATAGCCATATTATACAAAATATTGATGGCAATTACCACTGTCTTATTGTTACATCAGTTTATAATAATAGCTATATTTTTTTTCCTGCTTTCTGAGCATTTTGACTGCAGATTCACCACATTGTATCATGTACCCAGTCAATACTCAGTAATTGTTGGTTAACTGATTAAAACTAAGAGCTTCAGTCTCCAGCATGTGCTGCATGGCCTTCGAGGATCAGCAGGACAGCTGGTTAATATACTTGGTATACCAGGACAAGAAAGGATAGTTTCTTAGTTTTCATTAGATCTCCATAGGCAAGATAGCTTACTTGTTTGGAAGCTCTTGAGATAAGGTAACTGAACTCATGATAGGAAGGTAATCTGTCAGTACACACACGTGTGTGTATGCAGGCATGCCAGCTCACAACCACAAAGTGGAGAAATCATGTGCTAAATATTAAATACAGGTGGTGTTAGACAGGTCGAGTTCATGAACCAGCTTTGTTTTTATGTATTGGACTTGACACTCACCTCAATAAAGAAGATGCTGGCTGCAGACGTGGGATGGTGATACATATAGACTGTCACAAGAATGGCTGCTGCTATAATGAGGACCAGGATGAGAATTCCAACGATGAGGCCCGCATGGAGGCTCCCCCTTTTCTTCTCAGCTGCACTGTCATCTGTAGAAGCTGGAAGAACAGCACAGCTGTCAGGACACTCATGAGGGTCATCTTAAGTTTGCATTTAATTAGAGAGGATTTTTCTATTTTTTATAAAGTACCATTAGATTTCTTATTTGACTTCCTGTCCAATTTTTATTTTCCATGACACCAGTTTTAGATGTTATTGCTCTTTATTTGGGCAGTGAAATATTCATAATATTAATGATTAAAATTAATGTATAATTGTCTTCTAATTTATAATTCAGTAGATAGAATATCTTTTATCTTAAAAGTACCTTAGAAAATCTAAAACTCTAATTAACTATATAATAAATTTAACATTGATTTTTTTTTTTTCTCATTAAACTACTGGAACTGTTACCAATGGAAAAATTGATTGCTTTTTGAAAGCTCATCTCTTATTTTCTTTTGGAAATTTCACAGGCCGTTTTCAGAAGGCCTGTTTGTGAGTCCACAGCATCATTTTCAAAAGCTGTTTTAAACTGAAATGTTTGTTAAAAGTGTAAACAGGCCCTCCCTGGTGGCTCAGCGGGTTAAAGCACAGCACTGAGAATCTAAAGCCACTTCCGCATGAGTTCAATTCCCGCCGGCCCCGGAGGTGACCACATGGTGTGGCAGACCTCTCCTGACCCGCCCGCTGCTCCCCTCAGCAGTGTACTTCATTGATCTGCCTGTTCTGCTCCCCGCTCTGTCTCTGGTGAAGCCTCTCACCGCCCCTGAGCCTCTGGCCTGTACCCCAGTTCTGTATGCACAAATAAATAAAATCTTTAAAAAAAAAAAGTGTAAACAGATGGATGTTAAATGACCTTCAACTAGCTTTATCACTATCTATAGGGAACACACCACATATAAGACATTCCATGATGTCACAGACCAGTACCTTTTTCTCTCACTTATACTGAGATGCTTTCCACATTAATACTGACTTTTAGAAATTTAGGAAAGGTAGGAATTAAATTTCTAAAGCAATAACTCTCCAACCCAAAACCAAAGAAAAAAAAATTAAACAGAACACCAAAATCTCTTGTTCTAAAATTCTGCAGTCTCTGATGACCACTCAAACATTTAAGGAGATATTCTAAATTATATGCAGCAAGTAACTTTATCTTAGTGTATGATTACTGTTTTTGAATAACTAAAAAATTCTTTAAGACTTAAAGAAGTTCTAGAATAGTAGTTCCTAGTCTTTCATTACCAATTAACATATTGGTTATTTTCACCAGTTGCCTCAGTATTTTTTTAACCTAATTTGATAACCTTAATTTTGTTAAATAACCAACAGGACTGAAATGACAGAACACTATAAAAGATTATGATGGTAAATTTTATGTGTATTTTGCCACAATAAAAAGAAATCTAATAGCTCACTTGTATGTACAGTCATATTTGCATTGTTTTAACAGTATCAAATCAATGACTGAAAAAGGCAGGCATTATTTTTATTCTCACGTAAAAATGAAGAAACCCAGGTATTGGGAAATTAAGAGACGCATTAAGAACATAAGGCTGCTAAGATGAATTGGGGCTAATCACAGACATCCATACTCTGAATCTGTGATCAATAACCTCTCAACACTGAACTCTATGAACTGATGCTTCCTTTTCTTTCCAGTGTGCATTCTGAATAAAGGGGCATTAATTCAAATATGGTTAAAGAATTAGCATTGTTCTTCAAATGAGCGGAGGTTATGTCTGTGCCATTCTTTGAGACAGGGCTTAGTTCAATTATGCCTTTATATGCACTTGTGGCAGGATGAAGGGAAAGGGACAGAAAAAAAATAAAACTTACAAAATTGGAATAAGTACTTCTCCAATAAAAATAAAGTTCAGATATAACAGATTACTTAATCTGTCTGGCCTTCAGTTACTTTATCTCTGCTATGTGGTAAATAATAGTAACTGACCCATGGTTTTGCTGTGAGAATTAAACATCTAACACATATCAAGAGTTTAGCTTATGTATATAGAGCATATAATAAACTTTACTAATACAATGATCATTATATTCTACGTTATGATATCTTAAACAACATTTTTACCCTTAATATTTGTTACTTTTAAATGTTTGGCTTCATTTATAAGTATGTATATATTGTCACATTTTGTGTGCTTGTTTTTTTCTTATTTTTAAGGAACATAACACATTACTTTTACTGAATTAATTTAAAATACTGATCTTGAGAAATAACTATTTGGTCAAGAAGGGAGCCTTCAACATTTTTAGCCTTCATACGTAATCCATCCATGTATCCCTCTGTTTCCCCTACCTCCCCCTTCCCTTTTATCTTTCTATACCTGCATCTATCTGGCCATCCATCTACCCAGAAGTCTTCCAGTTTTATTCTGGAATTAACAGTCTTTGTAAACATCATTTTAATCATTCTAAGATGCAGCTGTGTGTGTGTATATGCACACACGTGTGTGTGTGTGGGCGCCACAGGATGGGGGGAAAGACAGGGCATTTCTGTGTTGGCCTTGTGCTGCCATTTCCTCTGTGGACTAGGGGACAAGTCAGAACCTGGTCAGGAGGAACCAGGCAGGACACAACCCTCTCAGGAAGAAAAGAGCCAGGGACATATTTTATTCAAGAAGAGTGCTTGTCGATAAAATTGTCTTTGACTTGCAAGATACAGGTTGCCAATGTAACATAAATTTGAAATGGAGTTACACTTTGGGTATACACCATGCTTACTTTCATAATTATTATTAATATCTTTAATAATGGTTATTCATATTATGTCTTTAAAAGGTCCTTCACAGCACTGGTATAGATATTATCAATTCATGTCTAATAAAATTTGTACAGAGTCTAGTTTTTTACTAATAGGTACTTTATAACATTTTGGATGATATTTAAAATAAAAAATCTTCAGGGATCTTCAAGGTTTCACTTACCAGTAGATAAAATAAATATTTGGGGCTCTATGAATGTGTGCATGACTTTTGGATGTGTCATAAATAGGGAAACCCTTTAAGGAGAAGTATAATGGATTCAATTTAAAAATATTATGGTGAGCTGTACCACAAAGCCATAATAATCAAAACTGCATGGCACTGGAATAAGAATAGACATACAGACCAGTGGATTTGAATAGAAAACTCAGATATAAACCCACAAGTTTATGGACACCTAATTTTTGACAAAGGAGCAAAGAAGATACAATGAAACGAAGAAAATTTGTTCAGCAAATGGTGCTGGGAAAATTGGGAAGCTACATGCAAAAAAAAAAAATGAAACTAGATCACTGCCTCACTCCTGTCACAAAATTCAACTCAAAGTGGATTAAAGACCTAGACATAAGAACAGAAACCATAAAATACCTACACGGCATACACTTCAGCCACATCTTTAAAGACAGAGCACCCAACACCACAATAGTGAAGGAAAGGATAAATAGATGGGCTACATCAAGTTAAAGAGCTTCTGTACAGCAAAAGAGACATTACAAAAAACAAAAAACAAACAGACAGCCCACTAACAGGGAAAACATTTTCTCACACAAAAGTAGTGTTAAAGGACTGATCACAAAAATATACGGAGAACTGGTGAAACTCAACAAAAATAAACAACCCCATCAGAAAATGGGCAGAAGAGCTAAAAAGACACTTCTCCAAAGAGGAAATGCAGATGGCCAACAAGCATATGAAAAAAATGTTCAACATCACTCGTAATAAGGGAGATGCAAATTAAAACCACAATGAAATACCACCTCACCCCAGTGAGAATGGCACATTTTCAAGCAACTAGCAATAATAAATATTGGCATGGATTTGGAGAAAAAGCAACTCTCCTGCACTGCTGGTGGGAATGCAAACTAGTACAACCACTATGGAAAACTGTTTGGAGGTTCCTCAAACTGCTAAACATGGAGCTTCCCTACGACCCAGCAATCCCATTCCTAGGTATCTACCCAAAAGACACAAAAACAGTGATTGAAAAAGACACCTGCACCCCCATGTTTATTGCTGCTTTATTTACAATTGGAAAAAGCAGCCCAAATGCCCAAAAGTAGATGACTGGATAAAAAAGATGTGGTACATATACACAATGGAATATTACTCAGCAACCAAGAAAGAGAAACACATGTCTTTTGCAGCAACTTGGATGGAACTGGAAAAGATCATGCTTAGTGAGATAAGCCAGAAAGAGAAAGAAAAATACTGGATAGTTTCACTCATAGCAGGAGTATAATGGACCAGGTGAGAAAATAACAAGAATAATGAACAACCATATACCAGAGACATTTTGTGGTGGAGTGGGGAATGGGGTCAAAAACGGGGAGGGTTGGGGAGGGAAGTGCACGGGATTATGGTGATGGCACACGGGTGACTTGGTGATGGGAAACCCGCGGGGATTACAATTGAGATGGGAAAAAAAATGTAAAAATGTAAAATAAACTGTTATAAAAAAAATATTATGGTGGTATCCTTGCATCCCAAACTAGTATTATTTCCAAATACTTTGGAGTGAACATCTGGAGTGGCCAATGTTACATACATATTTCTGGAGGACAAAATTTCTTTTTTTCATATAACTTAAGCAAAGTTTTCACATCTCTATACAGCTGCTTTCTCAATCAACAGGTATTTGGCATATAAATGTTGAGTCTGAAGGCAAATTGATCCCTCAGTCAGTTTACTTTTATTTAAAATTCTAATTTGTTTCCAGTCTATTGTTGCTCAATTACGTGGTATGGGGTTTACACACTTACAGTACCAGCCAGAGAGTGTGGCAGTCTTGTCTTAACTATGATACACCTCAAGTCCTCAAATGTAAAACTGAAATTTAAACAGTGTAAGCAAGTGCTAGTAATTTCCATAATTGACAGTTCATTTACCTCAAGGGCAGACTGATCAAATAAATTGATTTCACTCCTTCAGAAAAGACAAACAATGATTACTTTAGATATTATCATTCATTCCTGTGGCTGGACTGATCTTACAAATTGTCTGGCAAAAGTGGGTTAAAGAAAAATGAACCTGTTAAAGGTAAAAACTTCTTGAGC